AAAAAGAAAATCTGAAAAAATGAAATCCTGTGAGAAGTATAGACCATAAACGACAATCGACGGTTAAATATAAATTTAGGGTTTATGGATTATGGATTATGGTGTTGAATCTCAGAGTTGAGCCCTTCACAAAAAAATATAAAGCTTGTCATTATGATACTGTATATTATTTTTTACACTTCTATATTAATTATTATTAATTTTGCACACAAACAAAAAATATTATTCATGAGGGTTTGGAGGGTTTTAAAAATCTAAACGACGATGTAACCATCGTCTAAGTATAGAGGAAGCAATCACGAGTGTTTATATATTCCTTTCACATTTTTTACACTTGTACATTAATTATTATGAATTTTATTTATTTAGAACTCCCTTAAAAATACTGTTCACGAGGGCTTGTAGGATTTTAAAAATCCAAACAACAATGTACCCATTGTCAAAGCGTAGAGAATGCAATCACGAGTGTTTGCATATTTTTGCATATTTTTCACCCTTGTAAATTAATTATTATAGTTTTTTAAAAGTGATTTGGTATTTTTAATTTCTTTGATATGTTTAGTGTGCTTTGGATTTTTTGCTATTGCAGTAACTAGTAAGTTGTTTTCGTAGTTTAGAATCATTCAACTAGTTTTTTTTTCTTAATGGGTTCGTAATGGATGACCCGATAACGACCAAATTAGTTGATATGTTGACCGAAAACCTGTTATTTTTGTGTCAAGTTATTAGATCGTACAAGAAATTACTAGGTCTACTATCAGGCAAGGCACCCTCCCCCCTCCAGTTTTATTTTCATGTCAAAATGGGGAATCCCTCTTTCATTTTCTTCTTCTTTTTTTAGTAAAATTTAAAGGCCAAATTAGATTTTTGCTAGTCTTCACACAAAATTAAATTGGGGTGTGTTTGAGACTAAAAGGTTTTGCGTTTATCGTTTATTTTTTGGTTTTCAACTTTGCTCCTAGTTCTGCTTTCATCTCTCTAGTTTAAATTTTTCTCATTTTAACCTTTGTAGTTTACAAGTTACAGCAATTCAAGTGCAATAACTTCTTAGATTTGTCAATTTTTGGCATGTATATCTTTTTTATTTAACAAATATGATTTGTAAAATTTGAACTCAACACCTCCAACAAAACAAAATTCTAGAATAATTTATTTCAGTTTTCATTTAAAATTTGATAACATGAAACTTGTTTGGTAACCGTATTCAATTTTCAAATAACAAAAAATTGAAATTTATTTGTAAGTTGTTTGATAATTGTTTTCAGTTTTATGTCAAAACCAAAAGTAAATTAAATTTGGGGTTGAATTGGGAATTAGAGGTCATAGAACGAAAGGGTATTGTAACAAGGATTTTGTAGTATTTTTTAATTTTGATGAATATTTGGTGAATTTTGAGTCGCTACTTTCTTAGATTATGAAAACTGCGACTGAGGCCCGAAGGCAAGAGTGAAGCGGCTGAATCTAAGTTGAGAAGTCCTAGATAAAAGTGTTTGAGACCGGAGTGCGATGCAAGTTTTGTGAAGAAAAATTAGTGATTGAGAAAGAAAAATAAATAAAATGAAATTGATTACTTGACAAGATTTTTTTTCTAGTTTAAAGAAAAAAATTAAAACTTTGAACGAAATATTATTATTATTATTTTAAAAAGAAGGACAACTGGTAGCGAACTGCAGTTATTAACCTATTTCGGGCCCAAAGGAGGCTATTTGGGAATTTCACCCCACCCGTTGACACACCGCGACCCGAAATGTCCACCTAGACTCCGAATCGAGCTGTGATGGCCGACAAAGTGTAGTGTGATGTGGAAAATGTGACTAAATTTAAACTAAAAGTGCCTAAATATAAGAGTGCGCTGGTGAGCGGGAATGAACCCATTTCACACGTGATGTCAGAGCATAAGTAAAGTACAGTAAAGTAGGATGAGAATTACATCATTGAATGTAATCTCCAATACCAAGATTGGTTAAGAATCCTCGTTGATACGAAAGCTCAGCTACTAAAACCTTAAGGGGCCAAAAACAAAGGTGAGTGGGCCTAAAAATAAAGCTTTGTAAAAACCTTTTCGAAAACATAATAACCCCTCGCCGTAAAACAAGTATAGTTTCCAAAATATACGTACTACGTTTAGTAAGAAAATACTTACCGTAGCCTGCAATATCTCAAGAATTCAATATGGCACAATATTTCGTAAGTAGACACATGATGTCCGAAATCACATAATCTTGCATAAGCAAACATATCATATTAAGTGCTCATCGACACATGAGTTCATGCAGAGCTATTATGACATGAACATGACTGTGTGTAACAATGATATACACTCTAGTACTACAATCACGTGAAGACCGGCGCTATGCACATCACATACGAGTCCTAATTGCCTACAGCAATCTAGGACAGAACTGGCACCTACAATCGATCCAAAGTGAGCGTACGGTGCGATGTGCATATACACGTGAAAGACTGGCCCTGGCCTGGGTGAGTACTAACACTGATGCAGCAAACAATAAGCAAATGACATAAATATAGTCATGCCATAGTGATTCGATAATTCTAGTCAACATAATATTACTCATAGTCATAAATTTAATTAAGGCATCCCATAAGATGTATAATGATTTCCTAATTCTCATCGTTACGTCGTTTCCTATAAAAGTTAATTTAATTACGGCAGTGATATAGAAAATTCATTATTAGATGTAATATGGAAACTAAATAAATATATGTATATATCAAAGAAAAGACCCACTCACAGATCATGTCGTCGAATCGAACCCGCCTCACGGGCGTCGAAGATCATCACCTAGAAACGAAACCATTTACGTAAATATAACGTACTAATGTAATTACGCGTTTTCGTACAAAGTACGGCTAATAAAGGAACTACTTTAAAACTGTCAAATTTCATAAAACAGACAACGAATTCGGATTCGGCACGTCAAGAAACTTAAATAGGGACCTCGAGCTCTTCCACACGCCACTCGTAGCGGCTCCCTTACGTGCGCCTATGCGCCTGCGAATACGACGGTACTCACCTTCCTCGCGAAGACCTGCGTTTTGTAGGTTGAACCGCCGACTTCCAGAGCTCATTTCGAGCTTGATTCTCAACAAAAATCAGTGATTCAAGCACCCATTTAAAGTTAGGGATATAGAGAATCGATCTATACCCATTTAAGGTTGTGCCATAATCGGAGTTTGCCAGAAAAGTGGTTTGAAAGTGGCTCGATGGGCACGGTTCCTTCCTTCCAAAAATCTGGGGAAAACTCCCCCTAACCTGTTTTCTACATTAAATCACCCAATCATAATTTTATGGTTAAAAGAACAATATAAGGCTTTGAAATAAGAAGGATGTGAAGGTCTTGGGGCTCACTATGGTCGGGAAAGAGAATGAACATTGATACGGGCACTGTACAGTGCAGATTCCATGGTTGGGTTGCCTTCATAGCTTAAAATCCTAGTTTTTAGGCTGAGAAGCTCGCAGATCTCGTCGAGGCAACAAAGTTAGCGGCGGTGATTGTATTGCCGGACCACCCAATCAGTGCTTGTAGAGAAAGATGAGGAGTGAGAGATGAGGGGGTGAGGTTGTAGAGGTGAACTTGCCTGGGTTGATGGCAGGTGGTGATGGCCTGAGAACTCGTTGGGGTGGTGCTGGTGATAATGGCCCATGTTGCTGCACCTTATGTGCAATGCATATAGCTTAGAGAGTGAGAGTTCTCTGGTTTACAGAGAAGAGAGAGTTTGAGAGGGATAGAGAGAGTGTGTTCGAGAGAATGAGGGAAAAAGAGAGGAGACAGAGAAGAAGACACGGGGAGGGAAACATAGGAGAGATGGAAGGAATAGGGCGTGGGCCCCACGTAGTACAGCCTCAGGCCAAAAGACAAAAGCAAATTATCTCTCGTAAACGTGAAATTACTAAAATGCCCTTTACGAATGTAAGTCCGTAAAATCTCCATCATAGCTCTGAATTCGATTCCGTTTGCGCCTACATGTTCGTACTATCAAGTACTTTGGGAATACGGTAAAAGAATATTTCGTACGTCTCACTAAACAATGATCAATAGAAGTCAAAATCCTTGCCTCTGGGGGCATTTTCATCAATTCACTCTTTTAAAATTAATAAAATTGTAAAATTAGGGACGGGTTATCACACCCATGGTCACGATCAAGCAGGTTCATAGCTTACAAAGTATTAGACCCAGAACCTCCCTTTTTTTTTTTTTTAATAGAGAACTGCTATTCGCACTTTAAACGAAATATTAACAGACAAGCCTTTAATTTTTTTTTAAATGACAATTCATTAACCAAGATGTACATAAAAAAGATGAAACCTAGTGTTAGAAATTCCTAGTAGAACTTGGAGGTCAATATAGCTACCTAATTTGTTAGGAACTAAAAATAAACAAACAAACAGATTGCCACTTAGTACTACAATCAGGTAGTATTCCTTTTCACTTGGAAGTGAGAGGTCTTAGGTTCGAATCTCATGGATGGTGAATTCGATACCAAATTAGGTTGCCTATTGTGTAGCTTAGCCGAACTCCCATTTCTCTTAGTGTAAAAATATCGATTTACTCAAACAAAAAAAAAAAAAAAAAAAAAAACAAACAGATTATAAATTAATTTCCACAACGAAATATCCAATATTTAGTAGGAATGCGAACAAGATGCTGAGAAGACGAGAATTTTCCTAATTTGAAAAGGAACAGAAATTACTTTCCAATTATATCAAACAAAATTAATTCTTGGCTATTATTTATAGATACTGGTTTCCAATCATTAATAGTAATAACGTGGGCTTTCTTTGGATAGCAAAAAAAGTTTCCAAGCATCGATAGGAACCTAATTCTTTGGCTATATATAATATATATAAAACCAATACTCATCACTGCTTACTTGATCAGTAATATTTCTATAAATCACCAGCATCAGCTCAGCAGCTGATACCGTTATACGTATACTACTGATCAAGAAGATACGTACATACATATCATAAAGAAACCATGGGATGCGTGAAGATCGAAATAAAAAAAAAAACCAACAAGAACTACCTCAAGGCCACCTTCTCAAAGCGGCGCAAGGGTCTCTGCGGCAAAGCCACTGATCTTTCCCGTTTGACTGGTTGCCCGATCGCCCTTATCGTCTTTTCGCCTGCTAGCAGACTGTTCCTCTTTGGGCAGCCCTCTGCGGAAACCGTCATAGATTGCTTTCTTGCCCAACAAGCTCCATTCACAGATAATGATCATGAGGATGAGAGTTTTGAATCCATTCATGGCGTCGATGACCGTGAAGATTTAGAAAACAACCAAGAGGAATATAAACAAGAGGATGAGATGAATGACGAAAAGGTCAATTTTTGGTGGGATGAGCTTGTTGGTGAACAACTGGAACTACATGAACTCATACAATATAAGACTTTGCTAAATAAGTTGAGAGAGAATGTGGCTCGGAAGTTACAAGACATGAATCGGAGAGAACTTTGCACCATAGATTTTTTTTTGGAAAGAACACATGCATAGGTGCTAGCACTACTTAATCACTAGTAGCGAGGAATGAGATATATTCGATTAATGATTGATTATGTTGTGAAATCTCGTTTCTATTTTGTTATAGTTCTGATCGTCTCAATAAAGTTTTTATTTTGTTCATGAAACTACTAGTACTAAACCAATATATAAAGTTCGAGCCCAATGGCAATTCATATATATATATATATATATATATATATATATATATATATGTTTTGTGCTTTATTTTTGTGGTTTTTGATTGCATTCTTCAAATATATATATATATATATATATATATATATATATATGTATAGCTCCAATGCTACTCCCATCTGACAGTTCTCACCATTAGACGAGAATAACTTTTTTGTCCTAGAACGATAGCGTTAGTGTGTTAGATAGTTAGTTGATAGGAAGATGAGAATAACGTATTGCTTCCCCTGCACAAATAAGAGGAAAATGAGGGCAAGGGATAAATAGGGAGAGAGATCGACGAAGAGTCATCTTTCACATCAACCGATCCCTATCTTATGTAACTTTCAGTCTCTGGCCGATTCTCAGTCAAAAAGTTGTTTTTTTCTTTGCCACTGACCGATTGTTTTTCCGGAATTGGATCCTCTCCTGAGCTTGGGATTAGGAGCGCTCCTGACCAACGTACAAAGGCCGTTGGAATTTGATTCACCGGCTAAAAATAGGAGGCCCTCTTAAAGTTATAATAATTATAGCCGTTGGATCAAAATTCAACGGCCCTTGTGTGTTTGTTGGTGAAAAAATTGTACACAATATGTAAACAAATAATTCACTCGATACAATTTCACCATCATTCATTTTTCCGAAGAGGGTTGATAGGGATTTTACCACCTGCAAAAGTAGGGATAAAAACATTTTAAAATACTTGCAAGAGTACAAGGTTATCGTAGTATAGCAACTCAAGCAAGGTCGATCTCCACAGGGATTGAATAAATAATTTATGTTAAAACCAAATCTTAATTAATTATTTGAAAACAAAGTTGGAAAAGGGTGATTTTATGACCTAAAATATTAAAAACGAATTTAATTAAAAACAATTAAATAAATTGACAAAGTAAAGAAAACCAAAAAGAAAATAGTTTTGCAATCTATTTAAGCACTAGGGTTCCGCCGTCACCTTAACAATCTTACGTAATTCTTCCAATTACTTATGACTTACACATGCATATTTGAAGATTAGGTTTTCCTAAAGTATGCCCTACTTGGAACCTCCAACATAGAACGTATATCTAACATGCAACCAATCTGTGGCGTCCAGATCGAATGTGAACATGCAAGACTCATTAAGTTTTGTGAAAACCTTTTGAAAAACCATATAACCCTTAAAACGTGTTGTCCATCCTAAGAGGTTACACATATTAACAACAAGAAGCCTTAGTCAATTCCAAGGACAGCTCTCCACCAAAATTGCATCAAATTATTTTTCTAAATATCCTAATGGTGGCCAATCATCAAGACAATTAGATAGTTTAAAGCATAGTGACTAATAATTCAAAACTTGCATGCATAATATCATAAGTAAATTGAAAAGAAACTACATATTCTTGCGAAGGCTCGTGGCCTCGCCCTAACAAACAAAACACCTTGAAAATAAACTTGAATTGTCAAAAGCCCTCTAAGGCCAAAGTATTGCGTTCTCCCCTCTTCTTAACCTAATGGCTAAATATCTTATTTATACTGATACAAAATAAAACCCTAAAATGTCTTAGAATAAAACTAGGTAACATAATAAAATAATAAAACAGAAAATAAAAAGTTTCCTATTTAAACTAAAATTCGGACATCTCAGAAAATTCATCTTTTGACTGACCAAATCAACTCCGATTTGGTCCCAAAAGGTCTCGTTTTAAAGCTGAAGACATCTCCTAGAAATCCTTAGAAGGAAGTTTCCTCAAAATATGCCATCTTGACCTTCAAAATACCCAAAACGTCCAGAAACGTTAATCTTGGAAAGCTGGGCGCTGGACCTTAATTTCATCGCCACGGTCAAACGGCTTGGTAGAAAAATCTGAAATTTTGAACAATCGTCTTGAAAGGCACATGAATATCCTCCAATTGGAATCACTCCAAAATGCATCCGTTTGATCACTTTCTGCTTCAGAGGAAGTCGAATATCCTACATTGAGAATACATAACAAAGTATCAAAATTCTACCAAAATAACAAATAAATTGATACTAAGAATAGGGTAAAATCTATAGTAAAATATCGACTCATCAAGGGTTTTATTAATTTGAGTTCGACCCATTCTAGGCTATGCGCCTATTAATTACAACCCTTCTTTTGGGAAAGGAATACCCTTTGATTCTAATATGAATAAATCGTAACTTGGGGATTTGGATGCTTATTTGATTTTGTGACTGCACCTAGGTAGAGCCCTAGATTGCCTACATACCCTCGTTGAGGGATCAAGTCACTCGTAGTTCCTTATGTGTTTTGTTGGGGTTTGACGCCTTGTGCAGTTTCAGCTCGTGCAGGCAAGGAACAACTAATGCCTTGTGCAATTTTAACTCGTGCGGGTGAGGACTTTGAGCCATTGGAGCATAACACAACTTCGTGCCATTTGACATTTGATACTGCTTCGTGTTTTTTGGATTTGATACGGCTTCATGCCATTTGAAATTTGAACCAGCTTTATGCCATTTGAAGCGGCTTTGTGCCATTTGTATTTTGGCATGACTTTTCTTCAGCTTTATTGCTTGAGCAACATACATTAATTGGAAATCTAGGAAATGTGCTTCTAGACTTCTCCTTTACTCTTCGTAGAATTTGTAATTACTTGGTCAGAAGTGAATTTAGTTTATATAAACCAGAGATTCATCTTGATTTCACGGTTGCGTCCAAAATTTGATATCAGACTGCCTACGTATCTTTAACGGAATCAAACCGGCGTAGTTCGTAAATTTTTGAGACTCGTCGTGGCTTTGTGCCATTTGAGATTTGACATGGCTTCGTGCCACTTGAAAGTTGACTTGGCATCATGCCTTTCAAATTTGATACGGCTTTGTGCCTTTCGATACTTGATATGGCTTCGTGCCATTTGAGATTTTGTCGCGGCTTCGTGCCATTTGTGTCTTGTAAATTTTAATGGGAATATTTGTGATGAACCCACTTTTACTTTGGTATTTAACTTTGTCTTCCTTTTCATTTATTTTGTCTTGGAACCCATTTTATTTTTCCTACATGCCCGTCACTCTATTGTTGCCTTTTATCTTTTGCATGGCAGCACCAAAAAAATTCCTTGCTTTCATATGGAAAATATAAGGGGGCGTTTGTTTGCCCTCACTAAGTGGGACTGGACTGGACTGGACTAGCTGTTAGTCCAATACTGTGTTTGTTTCATGCTGGGACTAACATTAATGAGACTAAAGGGGACTAGCATGGACAAAACCCTTCACTAAGAGGTCTTAGCTAGACCCCCCAATAACCATGGGACTAGCTAAGACTATCCTCTCTCGTCCTCGTCATGCTCAACAACCACTCCCGATAGACTCCTCATCATCTCCGGTCACCGAGATTATAATAAAATATTAATAATTTATATATTAAATAATATAATATTAGAATTTGTTATTATCCGCTTCTTAGTCCAACACTGCACCAAACGCTTCACTAAGTTAGTCCAGCTTAGTCTAGTTTAAGCTAGTCCAGCTTAGTCCTTGAAGCTAGTCCAGTCCGAGATAGTCCAGCGCAACAAACGCCCTCTAAGTGTCAGGGCTCCTTTTACTTTTACCAATGCCTTTCCAGGCTTTAAGTCCCTTACTTTTCTTCTTTCTCTATTTTTTGCTTTGATTTGATGTCCTTGCCGTGTATCCCCTTGGTGGTTTGAGAAGGATGAGATCCAATTGGAAACGGCATAAGTTAAATCACCATAAAGAAATTGTCCTTTGAGACCACATAAAATCTCATAGCTCCATTGATCTCCACGTGATCTTTCCCATTTGATTTGGAGAGTTGTTCTGCAGCAAGCAAGTTTTGTTTTTTTATTTGTGGGGCCAAGTTTTGAATTGGCATGCCTACTAATAGATTTGGACCACCAGTCCCTTAGTTTATTACCATAAATATGACAAGTCATATTTATAAAAATTACTCTCTTGATCTTTGCATTCTTTCAACAGCAGCAGAGCTGCAGAGACTTGGACTTTTGTGGCTAACATGCAGACTTGGCCTAAGATTTGTATTTTTGCTGGGACTTTTCTAGTTGTAGGAAGACATCTTTTTTCTTTTTGCCTTCACCATTGAAGCTTGCTGACACCCATGTGATGGACATTTTCTTTTTGACTTTACCACTGAAGCTTGCTAACACCCATAGCTTGCTGACACCCATGTAATGAACATTTTCTTTTTGACTTTACCACTGAAGCTTGCTGACACCCATGTGATGAACAATACGTTTTTTCTTTTCCTTTTTATTTTCCATTTTCCACTTTTCTTTTGCAGAGTTTGCAATCTCCATTTTTTCCTTATCTTTCGAATTCCTGATACAAAAGACTTTGGGTGTAACTCTTGAACAATACGTTCTCTTCCTTTCCCTTTTGTCTTGTAGTATCTGTCAATCTTACTTACTTTTCCTTTGCAAACCTTCTTGACCATTTTTTGTATCTTTCGAATTACTGACACAAAAGACTTAGAGCGGAAGTCGCTGCTGTCAAAATCCAAGCGAGAAGACCGTCCTCCTATTCCAGTTTGCCGCGAAAAAAAAAAGAGCGCTTTGGAGACATCACCGGGCACAGTGGGTTGGCACCATTCTTCCACATGAACCTGACTCCCGCTGGTGGCATGGCAACGGAGGAAAGGGAGGCCTCTGTGTTTGCCAATTCGAGATCCGAGTGGTACAACGATGGGCTGTGCAGAGGTGGCGGAGAAGGGAGACGAGGCTGCCCCTTCGTCTTTGGTTGCTGCTACTTTTGTTGTCATTGGTGAGAGGAAAGAAAAGGGCTTTCTGGTTTTTTATTTTTCTTTGTTTGGGAATTCGCGAGAGGGAGGACACTACCCCATTTTTGCTTTGGGAATGAGAGAAGCAAAATTCTTTTCTTCCTCCTGCAAATTAGAGAGAAACTAATAGCAAGAAACTTAAAAA